AGACCATAGAAGAATTGATACTCTTGAGTTATGGTGTTGGAGGAGAATATTGAAAGTGCCACGGGCTACCAAAAGAACCAACAGATTTGTGTTGGAACAAGTGCAGCCAGAGTGCTCCTTGGAGGCTAGGATGGCCAAACTTCGTCTCTCAGACTTCGGACATATTGTCGGGAGGGACCAGTCGCTGGAGAAGGATATCATGTTTTGTAGGGTGGAGGGTCAGAGAAAAAGAGGAAGACCCCCAGCGAAATGGATTGGCAAAGTGGCAGCATTGATCAACTCAAACATGGCAACAATAGTGAGGTTGACCCAGGATTGGGCAGTGTTTCATTCTGTTGGGCATAAGGTCACTATGAGTTGGTACCGACTCAATGGCACGTAACAACAATACCAAGGAGTAAAGATCACAGTGGAAATAGAGTGGTTATGAGTCAGGCTGCTAACCTCAAGCCTAAATGGTTTAGGACAAGGAAAGGGAAAGTGACAGGTCATGGAAAGAAAATTTCTCCATGGCTTCCTCTTTTTGAAAGCTATCGATATTTCCTAACATTAAATATATTTTCCCCTCTGCGATTTATTTCTGTATTCTGCCCCCTTTTTGGATTGGGCAGTAGAAAGAACATGAGCTTCAGAGTTAGTCACATCTGGATTCGGAGTGCAGCACTATTAGTTACCTGATCATGCTGTTGTTAAGCGCTGCCAAGTTGGTTCCTACCCATCGTGACCTTGTGTAGGGTTTCCAAGGAGCAGCTCGTAAGCTTGAACTGCTGACCTTATAGCCTTATATGAAGTTCAAACCAACTTTATAGCCCAGCACATTAACCCACGGAGCTCTGGTAGCGTAGTGGTTACGAATCGGGCTGCGAACCTTAAGGTCAGCGGTTCGAGACTACCAGCCTCTCCGTGGGAGAAAGATGAGGCTTTCTACTCCCGTAAAGATTTACACCTTCGAAAACCCTGTACAGGGTCACTATGGGTCGGAACCGACTCAACGGCACTTAACAACAACAACAACAAAAGGAATTTTCAGAGGAAGACCCCCAACAAGATGGATTGGCATCGATGGACTCAAGTGTGGCAACAGTGGTGAGGTTGGCCCAGGATCGGGCAGTGTTTTGTTCTGTTGTGCATAGGGTCGCTATGGATCGTACCGACTCGATGGCACCTAACAACAACAACAACTAAAGGAATTAAGCCCCTTTCTCTAAAAATCCTCTTTCTGACATCCCTACTGATAGTTTTGAAGCTTCTTTCTCTTAATCTCACACCCAGTGGCTCAGAGTCCTGTGTGACGTGTCCTTGGTATGAGTCTCTTCATCTTAGATGAAGTTCTTATATATTCAGATGAGCTCTTGTCACCTCACAACTACTTTATCAAGTCATCCCCCAGTTTTCCTTCTTGTCCTCCTTTCTTATACTCCATCTAACACCCTACAATATAGATCTTCTTACTCAAAAACTTGCAATGCTTCCTTACAATTGTTGTTGTTAAGTGCCGTTGAGTCAGTTCTGACTCATAGTGACCCTGTATAGTGTTTCCAAGAAGCTGCTGGTGGATTTGAACCACCAACCTTGAGGTTCAAACCAACCTTTGGTTCCAGTGCATTTTCCAGCAGCACCACACCAGGAAGCCCAATTCCTTAGTCTGGTATCTAAGACTTCTTACAATGGTCACCCAGTCTACCCTTCCAGATATTACTCACTCAATTCAGCCCTGCATTTTCCCTCTAGTCAAGCTGGTCTGCTGCACATTTCCATCTCAAATACCTTGTTCTAGCCATATCCCCTTCCTAGGGCCTCCCTTCCCATGGCCTCCTAAACAGCATTCATTCTTTAGATATGGTCCAAAGCTATGGAGACTCCCCTTGACTATTCAAATCCACAATAAACTCATTCCTGTGAATTCCAAGATATTGTTTTTTTAAACTTCATCATGTACTGAATAATGTTTAATTTTTCATGAAAACGTTGCCTGTTTACTAAATTTTGAACACCTTATTGTTGTTTTTGTTAAGTGCCATAAAGTTGGTTCCAACTCATAGAGACCCTGAATAGGGTTTTGGAGGAGTGGCTGGTGAGTCCGAATCACTGACTTTGTGGTCCAAACCGACCTTGTGGTCTAGTGCTTATCCTACAGCGCCATACCAGAACTCATTAAGAGGCTATTCAATAAAAATCTGTTCTGTTATCAGAAGGAAGGGACATAAAACATGGAGGGAGGGAGAGAGAATGGGTATCCAGGTTAGGCCTGGGAGAATGGTCGTGTTGTTTGCTACACTTACTTGAACATGGGACTTTTTCTCTGGGCTTCTTCCAGCACAAGAAGTAGCACAGATCCCCTCTTCACTGTGACATCGATGGTCACATTGAAGAGCAGGTCCACCCCTCTTAGCTGGTTATTTATGGTGTATATGACCGTGATGCTGGATGCTGACGTGGGGCCAGGGCTAGGAAGGCTGGGTAGAGTTGGCTGCACCTCATGATCTGTGGAGAAGAAAGACACCACATTTGTCAGGTTGTTGTGGTTAGTTGCCACTGAGTCAACTCTGCCTCATGGTGGCCCCGTGAACAACAGATGTAAATGTTGTCCAGCTCTGCACCATCTGCATGATTGTAGTTATGCTGGGATTCATTGTTGTGGTCACTGTGTATTCTGAATACTTTCCAACTTAGGGAGTTCTGCTTCAAGCACTGTATCGGACCACACTCAGTTGTGATCCATTAGGTTTTCATTGGCTAACTTCTGGAATTAGATTGCCAGACATTTGTTCCCTTGTCTGTCTGAGCCTGGAAGCTCTGCTGAAACCTATCCAGCAGGGGTGATCCTGTTGGCATTTGAAATATGGGTGACATAGCTTCCAGAATCATATCAACACATAAACCACCACAGCGTCACCAACTGACTGACAGGTGGTGGTGTCAAGGATGATGACAGGACTTACATTATGGGTACGGAATGCTGTTACTGGCAACTTAGCTCAGAAACTATTTTAAGAGATGGCAGTGAGTTTGTGGCCTTCCTGGCTTTTTGTGAGGAACTAGTGTGAGATAGGAAGCTCTTGTTTCAGTTCCAGGGACACTGAATAATGGACAGCTTTACAATGATCATTTATTTTCTTCAAGGAATACATAACCCAAGTCTCCTACTTCATGGGATGCTTGCTGTTTGCTGCGGTTCTTTCGCTACCTGTAATGAATCTTAAAGGTATAAGCTTCCAGACCACTTTAGAAATTGCATGGGCAACTACTGTAGATGTCTAGCAAGCTCTCCACGGCCACCTTGTTAAAGTCGGGAAACCATTGGGAAGCAGCTTAAGGAGCTAGCTGAATGCAATAGTGTTTGGTTTGAATGGGATCCCATTGTTTGAGTTGGGTCTCTGTGAATTCTACATTGCCATAGACAGGGAGCTTAGGACTTTCTGCTTGGCTTAGAAAGTCCATGAACATAAGCCGCGTAGCACTGTATTTTGTTAGGAAGAAGAGTCAGAGGAATTCATACCAAACTAGCCAGCTCCCGTGTTAACATTTTTATGCTGGACTCTACTTTCTAAGTGTGTGTTTCTGCAATATTTGAATATTATGTATCTCTGTATTACAGTTGTCATCCGAATAAACAAAAATATTTCAAGCAAAAAAGTAGCATGCTAGATTTCCACTTCAGATCTTTAAGGCTTGGCTGAAATGTTCACTTGACTTTTCTCCTAAGCCTCCCTGAGAAAACCAACCCTTTAACTTTGTAGCACATATGACTTCCATTTCTATTGAATTATTTCTTAATTCTTCCAAGTATTGGAGTTTTTGCCCACATATCAGTCCCCTGACTTCTTAAAGAACAGATATGATAAGCTACTATATAATATTTGGTACATCTGTTTGTCAAGTGAAAGAATGAAGTGATGTGTTATTTGATTGCTGGGCCACGGACCTCTCTAATCCAGTAGTCCACAAAATGCTTTGCCCATAGTAGATGCTCAGTAAATGTGTGCTGGATGAAGGAGACATTGGGGAGTGGGGAGCTGAATCCTGAAGTCACAATGGCTAACACACAACTTTTGAGAATTTGAAGTCATATGTGGCTCACCCACAAAATGACAACAAGCTTATCTGCCCCTTAAAATTGATCCACATATCGTTCTGGCGTATGTTGTCACTTTATGACATAAGCAGAGCTCTTACCAGGACCACATACCACGTGGGGCACATCTAGGTATGTCTTGCCCTTCAGAGAAGGGAGGATTTGGGCAATGGCCATGGGGTTGTGGAATTTCCCCTCCTTGATCTCAGTCAGTACTGTATTCATGGTCTTCCTGCAGTCCCACTCCTTGTTTGGTCTCTCAGGTGTGACAGAGAGAGCCTGAGGGGTAGGGGAACAGAGAGAGAAAGAAGACAGATAGATTAGGCTTAGCTGAGCATTGATTCTTATAAGCATATTAAGGGACAGATTTGATCTCTAATCTTTGTGATTGTCTAGAGCCCAAACCCAAAGTTGCATGAAGTTCAGAACCACATCTGTCTTGTTCACTGCTGTGTCCCCAACACTATACTTTCATATAGTAGCTACACAACAAAGATCTGTGAAATGATCAGATTCAGAGAACACTTGGGGATGCTGTATTTACGAACAATACAAGACATAGTAAGAGGCTGATTTCTAGACAAAGCAAGCTCTAGAGCTACACAGAAGGTGGTTGTCCTCTTTGCTTTGCATTGTCCCGCATACCCATTGGTGAACTTCTCCCAAATTTTGTGATCATGTCGGGACTGTCTCTCTAAACCCCAAAGCAAACCCGTTGCCACTGAGTTGTTTCTCACTCATTTACCTCAGAGTAGAACTGTCTCTACGGTTTCCAAGTCTGTCAGTCTTTGTGAAAGCTGACTGTCCATCTTCCTCCTATGGATCTTTGGTTTATACCTACCGATCTTTTGGTTAGCAGCCAAGTGCTTTACCCACTGTACCAACAGGCCTATCGCTCAAAGGCTCTGTAACCCTGGCCACAGGGATGCATTTATGGAGTGGACTAGACTAATCAGCCCCTCATTCTCCTGACAACAGTGGTGGAGGAACATGTGCTGATGAGAATCCTTCCCTGATACAAGGATATTGGGAGAAAAAAGCATTATGTTTCCTCCTGGGGTTATTCAACCAGGACCATGCAAGTAAGCACTGATCACCATTCTCAGTCCCCTTTGATGAATCTTGCAGCAAGACAGATTTTGAAGTGGGGCTGAGAAGTGAAGAGCTAGTATGATTTGAGGCTTAAATAGATATCAAAGAAGTCATTTCACCTTGCTGAGTGTAGAAATCACACTTCCTGCCCACCTTTGGGGGTGTTATTTGACGTTCACAGGGACAATATGTAAAAGCATTTGTGAAGCTTAAGACAGAGTTACCACCTCCTTTCCACTGGGTTGACCTGAGCATGCTCACTAAAGTGTGGTAAGAGACTTGGCTAGCTGACGAGAGTGATTCGCATGAAGCTCAGGATGGGAAAAGTGAGAATGGAGAGGCAGTCAGAAACTGGCTCTCAGCTACAGATGGTTGTATGAGTTTCTCCACTGTTGCATGATCATCACTACTGACCTTGGCAACTGTGAAATTCGCCTCTTGCCAGGGACCACCTTATAAGGCAGTTTGCATTAAGGGACATCCATTCTGTATCCTTAGCAACAGTGTTTTGTCCATTTGCCATATCACCTCCACCAAGAGAGATGTCTCTTGGTAACACATTGAGCTAGCTATCAGGAGTCAGTAATAACTTCATAAAGTGGGTCAGATCCTTTCTCCCAGAGTTCCTATCAGAGGAATGGTGAAGGCATTGGAATGTTGATGGAAGACAGGGGATAAATTCTGGAACCGAGGAAACACTCCATGAGTACCTTAGGGAAGGGATGTGGGTGGTCTGGGCCACTGGAAGGGCACTGGCATCCACAAAGAGGGTGCAGGAAGACTATCAGTGAAGGTGATTAGCATCACTGTTCTGGGAGAGACCATGAACAAGTAATGAGAACCACACGGTATGTGTGATTTTTAAATACCACGCTTCATTTAGCGTAGCTGCAACTTTGTTGTTGTTGCTAGATACCACTGAGTCAATTCTAACTCACGGTGACCTTATGCACCACAGACTGAAACACTGCCCAGTTCTGTGCCATCCTCACAATTGCTAGGTTTGAACCTGTTACTGCTGCCACTGTGTCAGTCCATCTCATTGGGGGTCTTCCTCTAGCACGATGTCCTCCAGGGACTAGTCCCTTTTGATAACATGTGCTTAGAAGATATGAAGTCTTGCCTTCCTTGTTTGTAAGGAGCTTTCTGTCTGTACTTCTTATAAAACAAATTTGTTCTTTTGTCACTCCATAATACTTTCAATATTCTTTGTTAACTCCATAATCAAATGCATCAATTCTTTGTTATTGTGGTGGTGGTGGTGTGTTTTTGAGTCAGTTCCAACTCATATTGACCCTGCATAGAGGGTTTCTGAGACTGTAAATCTTTATGGGAGCAGAAAGCCTCATCTTTCTCCCGTGGAACAGCTGGGAGTTTTGAACTGTTGTCTGTGAGATTAGCAACCCGACTCGTAACCACTATACTACCAGATCCCCTTTTGCTACTGTGGGGGAATCAATTTCAGATAAATTCAGTATTTGCCCAGATTGTGGCAGATCTGGGATTTAAACTCAAGTGGTCATATTTCTATACTAGAGCTCTTTGCTTTTCTATACCAGGACAGTTCAGACTTGAACAGGGTATTTATTAGACAGCTGGTAATTTCAGATTTCACACTGCCTGGGTAAGCTTCAGAGAATGGGCAGTGAGGGCGGTAAGGAAAGATTACACAGCCTGTTGTTGTTAAGTGGCGTGGAGTTGGTTTCAACCCATAGTGACCCTGTATAGGATTCCTGAGGAGCAGCTGGTGAGCTTGAACCACCAACCTTGCAGTTTAAATGGCTTCGAAATCTGGGACATTAACCCACAGCACCACACCAGGACCAGGAAGTCCTGGTAGCATAGTGATTGTGAGTTGGACTGCAATTCTGACGGTCAGCGGTTCGAAACCCCAGAGGGGATGTGAATGAAAGCTCATTTACACATCCTAACTGACCAGAACTCCATTTGTCCTAAAGTATCTGGGTCTGGGTGATGTGCTGCCTTTTCATAAGAAAAGCTTTATTCCCAGGTACAGCTAATCAGTGTGTACCCTACAAGTGATAAAATATCAAACAGAATTCACAAACCAAGCTAGCAAAAATAAACATTTTTCTGCCTGGCACCAAGTTGAAGGTTGGTTATTTTAAGTGAAGCACAAACAATCTTTGATCCTCCACAAAGCTTTCTAGACCTGGTCCTGGGAATGCTGTGTGTATGATCAGCCGTGGAAATAAACAAAGTTTTTGTTTGTGGTAATATCTCATTGGTGTTGACTGAGAAGCGGACTTACTTTGTTCTCATTAATCATTCGTATGCACAGGATTTTGGTGTAGCCAGTTTGTACTTAACATGAACACGCTCCTAGGATTTTTGTGGTGCTGTGGGATAAGCACTCAACCACAAGGTTGGCGGTTCACACTCATCAGCTGCTCCTTGGAGACCCTATACAGGGTCACTATGGGTTGGAACCGACTTGATAGCACTTAACAACAGCAACAACAACCTCACAATTTTTATCCGAATTAAATTGCTGATTCCTCCTTCTCTCCTTAGGAAGCAATTTATTTCTAACTGTACCCGTTTCTGTCAAGTCAATTCTGACTCATAGCGACCCCACAGGACATAGTAGAACTGCCCCGTGGGGTTTCCAAGGTTGCAATATTTACAGGAGTCCTGGTGTGGCTCTGCAGTATAATGCGCTCGACTGTAAGGTCAGTTTGAACAGCAAGGTCATCAGTTCAAACCCACCAGCCACTCCTTGGATCGCTATGAGTCAGAACCGACTCTGAAGCACCTAACAACAACAACAATCTTTACAGAATCATACTGCTATATCTTTCTCCCATGGAATGGCGAGTGGGTTTGAACCACTGACCTTTTGGTTAGCAACCAAGCATGTAATCATTACTCCACCACAGAGTTCATTACGTTTATGGCTGACTTCATAACTCTACAATTCCCTTTTCTGTACTTTCTGAGTTGGGGAGGTCCCACAGTGTGCCCTTAGCTCAATGGAGTATGTTGACTTTGGAGCACAATGTTTTTAGTTAGGACCAAAGGATTTGACCCCAGATGGCTCTTAAATTTCTCATTCCAGTTGGTTATCTCTGCCTACTGTCATTGGTGCATATGCCTTCCATGGGAGGAGGCCACCCCAATGGATGGGGCTTATAGTTAGAACTACACAGTTGAACATTTTAGAGAATCCAAGCCTGGGAATCTTTGCTAGGGAAGCAGAGGATGGACACAGTATGGACTTGACTACTGGTCAGACCTGGCTCTGTTGTTTACCAGGGCCGTTGTAAGGTTTAAATGAGATGGAGAATGTGATGGAGTCAGTTCTGACTCATGGCGACCCTGTACAGGGTTTCTGAGGCTGTAAATCTTTACAGGAGCAGAAAGCCTCATCTTTCTCCTATGGAACAGCTGGTAGTTTTGAACTTCTGACTTTAAGGTTCACAGCCCAATTCGTAACCACTACGCAACCAGACCTCCTTTGTCAGTATATATGTATAGTCAGTATAATTATCAATACGTATAATTAATTGTTGTCATTTTTCTGTGTCTGTTTTTTGTGGTACTGCTGGATTCTTTGTTCCATATAATTCATTTTGTTTGTGGGTTTTCTTCATTTTCATTTCTGTTGTGTTAATTTTTATTAACTGATTTTCCTTTTTTTTTATTATAGTGTACAGGTATATTATTTTTCTTTGAGGTTACTGTGTAATTTACTAATTTTTTCTCTGTTTAACACAGTCTGTCTTATCTTGAAATCTACTTGACTTCCTTGCCATCTGGAAGTTCTGTATCTATACTATTTCCTCTTTTTGCTTTGTAGTTGACTTCATTATGCAGTCTTCTAGGTTTGTTATTCTCTGCTATTCATAAGGCTTTCAGTGACTATTTCGGAAGTACTTCGTCACTCCTTCTTCATGGTCTGTCTTCGTCTGGAAGCTCATCGGAAACCTGTTCACCATGGGTGACCCTTGTTGTTGTCAGGTGCCATCGAGTCGGAACCAACTCATAGCGACCCCATGCACAGCAGAACGAAGCAATGTCCGATCCAGGGCCAACCTCACCACCGCTGCCACACTTAAGTCCATCAATGATGCCACCTGGCCAATCCATCTCTTTGGGGGTCTTCCTCTTTTTCTCTGACCCTCCATCTTACC